GTGAAATTTCGCAATTTTTGAATATTTAATGCTAGTGCTAGCACTGAGGGTAGCCATGCAACGACGTTGCAACGTCGTTTCGAGTTCGTTGAATATAGGCACTCAGCGTTTTGGCCGTTGGCAACGTTGGCGCGAAATTGGGGCCGTTGGGCGCAAATTGGGGCCGTTGGGGCCGTTGAATGGCCGTTGCACGACCATGCCACGACTGTCAGCAACGGCCGGTCTAGGCCGGATTTCGAAAAACTTTTCCCGATGTGCGCACTCTATTACTACAACTCCCTAATAATAACAAGCCCTAGCAGTTGTAAACCCCTAACAATACCCTAGAACTTTAGTCGCAATTAACTCTAATTCAAGAGAAGTATAAGAAGTAGCAGGGTAGCTCACCTAATTCTGTGCTGAGCGCGCTTGAGCACTACGCAAAGGGGGGAGCGATTCTATCGCACAAGCTAGTTTTGGCGCAACAGGAGAACGCTGAGCTTCACGCAGCTCTAGCAGCTGCCACAGAACGTAAATCGCGCAAAGGAAAGCAAATCTAGAAGGAAGGGACCCTTACAGTTAAGGAAGGGCAGCAGACAGCAGCTCTAAAGGAGTTTAGGGCACGTGGTGATTGAAAGAAGTCAAAGAAGCAGGTGCGCGCTGAAGTGGGTGAGCCCTCCTAACAACGCTGTGGATGGTGTAATTAGACTAGGCACAACGCGCGAACGTGCAAGAATGATACAGAAGTAGTACTGCACCTTGCAGCGCCAGAGTGTGGTGTTTTGGGCCATAATAGGGTGAGGTTTAGTAGGGTCTTGGCAAAAGTGTCCGACTCGCCCGTGTGTCCGACTCGCCCGTGGGGTACGTTAACTGTAGAGTAGCTTTTAGAGTCTTAATTGCAATGTAAACAGTGTGGTCTTTAGGTGGCTTTCTAGCTCTAAAGGCATACTTTCTTAGAGCAGTATTTAGTCTTATAGCAGGGGGAGGGAGTGCTGCTTCTGTCTCCTGTGGTGCTTTAGGAGAGGTCCTAAAGGTTCCTAGGATTTTCCTTAGGGCAAGATTCTGTAGTCCTTGGAGTTGCTTTGCTATTCCTGCTTGTTGTTTCTAGAAGACCCGGCAGCCATAATCTGCAATGCTAGAAACGCATGCTAAATATAGCTGTCTTATAGCGCTAGGAGGGAGGCCTCTGTTGCTGTTTGCAAGTCTGCACATTCTATAGAAAGCGTTTCTTGCTTAGCTAATCCTTGTAGCTACGTGTTCTTTGAATAAGAGTGCATTGTCAAAGTAGATTCCTAGCGACTTTACTGTCTTTTTAGGCTCTATAGTAGACCTGTCTGGCAGGGTAAGTGTAGAGCTAATAGCTTTGTTACTTGTTATAAAGTAAATAAGCTCTGTCTTTGCTGCATTAAATTGTATAGCACAGCTTGCTCCTTTAGCAAATAGGCTTGCTATGTCTCTTTCTAGCAAGCAGGCATTCTTCTTTAGGCTAGTAGATGATGCTGTAATTGCTAGGTTGTCTAGGGAGGAAAGGGAGTAGTTTGTAATAGATTAAAACAGAGGTCTAATATATATTAGAAACAGGATTAGTAAGACAGGGCTGCCTTGTGGAATTCCTGCTGTAACGCTGCTAAAGCCTTCTGTTTCTCCATTAAAGGATAGTCTTAGCTGGCGCTTAGATAGGAATGATTGAACCCATGCTAACAACAAGATGAGATAGTATGTAGATATTAATAGAGTAGATTAAACAGTATCTAAAGTATCTTTCTTGCATGTACAAGAGTTATGCCCAGTCTCTCTGCACCTCTTACAGCGCGCAAGAGCCTGGCAGCTAACACCTAATTGCTCTCCTCCTTGACGCTCTTCACAAGCAATCTGCTAATTAGCCTCACGTTAAGTAAGGATATCCTCGCCAGCTCCCTTTGTTAAGACCCCACGCTGCTGTATACGCTTTTTCTTGCGCTGTTTACGTGCAGACGCTGCCTCATTTGCTCTCTCAAGGCCAGTGATCTGATCGCGCATCAGCTCAGCTGAGAGCATCATCACCTCAGCGCCCTTCTTGAGCTGGTCAATCGCGTCAATAATTGAAGCTGGCGAGGAGCTCTTATGCTTTCTTACGCGCTCACGAATCAACGTTGATTGAGCCTCAAGCTCACGTACGTTGCTCGGCGTACGAGCCTGCCAGGGAGCCTCTGGCAGAGCAGCTGGAGTAGGTGTACGCAGCTGCACGTCAAGCTTTGACAGTACAACGTCTGGTTGGAGAGGTACAATGCCTGCACCTCGAAAGGCTGAGCAGATATTGGCTGAGGTAAACGATTGATTGAACGCTGCCTTAAATGCTGGCAGGAATTCAAGCTTCGTGATGTGGTTGATGTGGTGGCGGATCAGCGCCTCAATCTCGCGGCTGTACGCGCGCTTCAACGGCGAGAAGCAGCCAACGTCAAGCGGCTGCAGCAGGTGGGATGAGTGAGGCGGCATGCAGAGCGTGCAGATATTGTTCTTCTTGCAGAGCTCCTGAAATTCAAGAGAGTGGTGACTCTCATGGCCATCCAGGATCAGCAGCCGGCGCGCCCCAACTACCTTGCCATCTGTATGCTTAATAAAGTGCTTCAGCCACTCAACTCCAAGCTCGTTGGTTGTCCAGCTGTTCTCACTGACTGCAACAGCCCAATCGCGTGGGATGTCTTCCTCATACCAGGCAGAAAGGTGGTACTGGCCAGCAAAGATGATGAACGGTGGGATAGCCCAGCCAGCAGCATTGATTCCCTGGATCACCGTGACCCACTCGCGATTGCCAGGCTGGATAGCCTTCGGCCGGCCTCTCCT